ACCCTGAAGACACCTGGGAAGCATGCAAGACATCTTTTATTAAAGGTGACATGGTGCACTCAGCTAAGTGAGCACTATTCCCCAACCACAGAACTTTCAAGACTGGGCAAAGTGACAATGAACAAGGAAGACAGACCAGTAATATAAACACACAAATCCTTAGCCAATGAAACAGCTAGTAAGTGAACCTCTTAAAAAAAAAGAAGCTTTAATGCACCCTCACATATTCAGTGTGGATGAGGTTTGTGATAGATGTCTACAAAGACAGCTTTTTCCACATGAAAAATGCAGCAATGTTAAATTTATCTCTCAATCCAATGTGAAAGTATGTTTAATAATGTATCCTATGTAGCATTTTTCTGTATATGCCTCTAACATTGGCGGGTTGATAGGCTTTTTCATTTTGTTTTTAAGAGACATTTATCTTTCTCAAGCAACAACACTGCTCTCCATAGCTATGCATAAAACAAGCTCCTTTGAGTAGGAAGGATGAGAGAACAGCATCAAGTTGGCCTAAAACAACATCTGGCCCAGAACCCCACAAAAAAGGTAAAAATCACCATCAGCACACTGAGCTGTGCCATTCCCCAAATAGATACCATTCTCACTGGGAAAAGCATCTCAGATATTCAAGAGTCTTGAGCAAGATGCTCTTACCAGCAATCCATCAGATTCCAAGTTTCAGATCACAACAGCAGGAACTCTTGAGGGAAAGCCAGGGTGGGAGAGAAGAGAATATTAAATCTATCACACCTTTAATAAGCCTGGAGATTACAAGATGAAGTAAACCAAATTTACCCTAAGAACGTGTGAAAACTGTATATCATGACACAGAATTTTTGCAAAGACTAAGCCCTTAAATTATGGAAAGTATTCTAGGGAACCCAGATAGAAAAAGAGCAACTCTTGTTACCAAGATGTTCGGAATTACTAAAATCAACATACAATCCTTGAAAGGCTGTCTTTTAAGAGGGTCTGAGCTCTTGAGGCAAGATGTAGCTGAAGAAAAGTTAAGTTTTTCCTTGAAGTTGAAGTACCTGTTTTGAAGGAACTTGCCATGTATGAGAAACCATTGACAGGCTAGTTTTCTCTACCCAGCAGCACAGGACTCTTACACCAGTGTTTAGAAGGCTGCTGTGGAACCATGACTATAGTAGACTGGATTAAATACTGATATACGGCCCTGGGTCTCTGAAGTACTGAACTGCATGCTTCCCATTGCTCTTGGCATTCATGTTGTGCTTCAGTTCCTGTCAGTGTGGCTACCTAGTATGGCTGCTTCAAAATACAGCTCGTACTGGTTACAGATTTCTAGGTGGATGTTCTTCCTCTGCATTCATCTATGCAACACAGGGGAAGGTGCCAGCTGGTCTTTGTCTGGATGTGCAAGTCTTACTACCTCTGAGTAAGAGAAAGTTGCATACTTTTTCACTAAGCACCATCTATTACTTCAGATCCCTGTTCTATATTACATAGCAGAAAGCTCAGAGCACACTGTATTCCCCTGGAATCGCTATCTATATAAAGCTTACATTGTCAGGAAGGTATTCAACCAACCAAATATTCAGAGGTCATCACAAGAGCAAGTAGTCCAGCCAAACCAGGCTGATACACATGTGTATGCATATGTGTGGAAGGAGGACAGCACGGTAGAAAACTGAGCAGCATATATACCAGATACATCCAAAGCAAACAGCAACCTGTAACTATGTACTTATTCCTGTAAGAGGAGACAAGTCTGAGGGGAGATGGGAGGTAGGAATTGACTGTGTCACTTAGGGTAATAATGTACCCAAGAACCTTTCTCCAATATTTTCCTTTAGATGGCTTCATGTCTGAGTCCACTGAATTGCTCTTCAGGAGCCCTTACTTTTCTGCGTTCAGTAGCCACAGGGACTTTGATGGTCTTAACGCAGCCATGCTGCTAAAGTCTTTACTACACTGTAGGAAAGTACTGATTCTTTCCAGGGTAAACAATTAAAGCAAATCTGTAAGAACCTCATGCATGGTTTTCATTTTCACAGAAGGTAAACGATGGCAATCTAGCCTACTAAGCAGCCCAAAATGTACCCTACTTCATCAGGGCAGGTACCAATGCCCTTTGAGGAGTCTGACAGGGAAAATCTCTTTGCTTAAGAGAAGCTCCCTTCTATCAGCACTTTCCAAGAACCTTCCTCCAGAAAAGCATATCCTGTACCTGTCTGTACTCCAGCCCCATTAAAATCCATTACCTGAGAATCATGCCATTAGCAGATTTCCCTGCACTTGACCCTGATCCCTGCCCTCAAGAAAACAAGCAGAACAACTGCCTTCCTGATCCTTGGAGGACCCAAATACTGTTACATATGCTATTTGATATATATGCATCTGTTATATATACAAAATTGCTTAATTGGAAATGGATCCAAAGGAAGCAAATTCCTTAATTCAATTACAATGCCTGCTAAAAACATGCTCAGAGTTTTATTGTTTAATTTCTTGAATAATATTTGATGGCATTACCTCAAAATCTGTTTTTAGAAGGAAAATATCTCTAAAATTATGGAATAAATCTGTTTCAGTGCCAAGGAACACAGTATTTCTTTCACACCTGTGACAAGAGAAAGGACTAAAATTTTAAGGAAGCTTTCAATTTTTTTTTTCTGAGATACAGAGGGAGACAACAGGATGCCAATCCTGGAACAATTCAAGAGGCACTCATACTCATTTTTCAGGTGTTTGTGCCCAGGATATAGCTTTTTATGAGTAAGAAAGTATATCTTCCAAGAGGAAGTAAGTCCAGCCTGAGCCTGGCTCTGACATTTGTCAGGGTACACGGTGATTTAATAGCTGGCCACACAGAAGATGAGCAAGCCAGACACGTAGATCTTCCTTCTGAACACTTCCCATTTGCATCTGAGATGGAATGAAGAGTATTTGTTGAACTTAACTCCTACATTACAGGACCCTTAAGCTCTGCAACAGCAACTTAGACCGCAGCTGGCACATGGTGCAATTTTTTTTTTTCTTCCTTCTTTTCTATGTAGAAATGGGGATAAAAGCAAAACAGAGATGGCCTCTCAGTAGTCTGTATTTATAATGCAGACACAAGGCATAATGATTTGTTCAGGAGAGCAATCTTTAGAGAATACACCATTCTCCCCAGTAGCTTCCACAGCTACCACATGATGCAACCATCTGGTCCTCTAACAACTGCCTTTTGTATGTTCTTGCAAGGAGTCTGGCAAGAGATATCAGAAGTAAATGCTCCTGCAAATCCAATGGATCTGCTGCTGGTAACAAGAACAGCACTGGAAGGAGGCACAGTATGAGAAATACTAATACACCAGTGAGTGTTCAATCCTGCTGGACTCATGTACATCTTTGATAGAGACCTGTACCATAAGTACTGAAAGTTAGCCAAATCACGTATCAGATCTGTGATAGGTCACAACAAATCCAGAAAAAAACAAGATAGAACTTGGGTCCTGTATCATAAAATTTCAAAACTGAGGATGGTTAACTTAAGCAACAGTGAGAAACCAGATAAGTCTATAGACTCAAGTGGTTTCTCAGCTGGAGTGAAGCACATCTGTTCTTACTGAGCTGAAGATCAGAATGTGACCTTTGGAAAGGCCATACCAAGGCTTAGGCCCCAATATTGTTCCAGCAGCACAACCAAAAGTTGAGGGATAATAATAGGACGGTTTAATATTGGCAAGTTCAACTAAAATTCTAATCTAGACCAAGAAAAAGGACAAATTAATACAAGCTACAATAAGCATTTACAGCAAACTCACTTTTCATGCAACTCGTTCACGTGCCTTAGACCTAGTTCAAAACTAACAACACACACAGATGAGCTCAGCCTGCTATCCACTGTAGTTAACAGCTGAACTTCTGCTCAAGAAGGTAACAGTTCTGCAGCACACCTTCTGTGCACCTTACACAGTTCTTAAGAGCAATATTCATTGCATATGCTACATGCTAGAAACCTCACAGCTCAGTGTTCATAGAAGCTCTTTAGAAAGTTTTGTAATTTCCCAGATCTACTACCACATTCAAATGTAGGCTTGACATAATGTATGCTAAGCAACGCACTTCACTTCTGTGCTTTTCTTACTCTTCTCAACTCCTTTTCATCATTTTTCCTCTCCCACTCAGACTTTTAGCTCCCTCCTTCAGAGCAGCAGATCATTGCTGCTTTGTCCAGTGTCACTCAGCAGTGGAGGAAACTGAAGGCTGGCTAAAGTGTCACGTGGTTTTTGTCGGGGTTTTTTTGTTCGTTTTTACTTGACTAAACAGTACACCTACTTCTTCCTGACATCTAATGAAGGAGAATTATAAGAGGTCTCCAAGATTTCATATCATCCACTCTCTCTTCCACACTTCCTCATTTTCGTAATTTCACATATCACCTCTAAGATATCTTCAAATGCCCTCTTATAAACCTCTTGATATCCCTGATATTGCCTGCACCTAACAAATACCTTTTTCTTTTACCTCGAGATGTTTCATTTCTGAAAAATATTCAGACAAAATAAGATGTAATATCCTGTTGTTTAATCAAGCTGTTTTATCTCAAATTTTTCAGACATACTCAGTGAATGTTTAGAATAACCATCCTATTCTTATCCGTTTTTAAGAGCAGAATTGCATCCTGATCTAATGCAGGAAATCTAACACCAGTAATCTACTAATAATACAGATAGCTAGTACAAGAAACTAAACAGAGCCAGTGTAATTTCAGTCAACAGTAAATGAAGGGCACAAATAAAAATAATTTAATTTCTAAAGCTGGAAAATTATGTGATATAGCAATAGCTTTCTTAGTTCTTGCAGTGCATAATGATACCTGAATGAGACTACAGATACAATCATTCATTGGATTCCCAAAGTAGTACGCCCTTTGGATCCATACCAGTTATACATGGATACAAAGTATTTTCCCTTACCTTTCTTCTTTATCAGAAAAAGAATTGTCTTATTTCTTGTTGCTGCTTTGATGAGGCTTTACTTACCGCTTCAGAATTATCAATGAAAGGGTCCGTTTCATCATAACCATAACCTATATCAATTAGATCCTGTAGGCGATCCTTCCGATGTTTGTGGGGCTTTCCACCCTGAAAACAAAGCAAGCACTGTATCATTTGGGAAACGGGGAAGCAACGTACTAAAGTCTACAAAACATAAGGCATTGGAGGGATGGTCATTTAGGGAATTAGTAGTTTTGCTTTCTTGGATGCTCCCTTGAAGATGGTCTAGATGACTAATGAAAACTTGCACACAGGAGTAAGTTCTGGCAAACATGCTTTACTATAGCCTCACCAGAATCATCCCTGAAAGGTATTCACTAGCCACCTGGTTTCTGCATGACCGAGATCTTCCTAACATTTCCTATTTAGAGATGTTTCACTGTCCTATGTTTTTAAAACATAGTGATAGGACTGTTAGTGATAGGATGACTGGGGTAATTTAGAAAGTGTTAAGTTTTTCAGTATGTCACAGAGTCATTACAAAGGAAAATACGGATAGCCTAGCATTCAGTAAAGTGTTTCCCCACACAAGATGGATTGCTTCTCTACAGAAGAGTGAAGCCTAAGTCAAAAGAGAAAAATATTGATCTGGTACTTGCAGATATGGTGTCTGAGTTTTCAAGAAGTTACAGCATTCATATAACATAACTGAAGAAAAACATATTAAGATAAAATCCTTTGAAATGCAAGAGCTGTCACCTCAGTTAATAGGACTGGACATGAAATGGTTACTTGAATAACTTAAAGCCAGAAGCCGCATCACAGACTGTGGGCTCACTTACCTCCAGGAGACAGTAAACTTCATTTTAACCTGTAAGTACTTTTCTCATGTCAAAGTTTTATTGTTAAATAAAGTCAAGTATAAACTCAGACCCAGCTCAAACATTCAGGGAATCTAAACTTAGTTATACAAATGGGAATCTGCTTAGGATATAAGGCCTAGTTTTCTGACTCCCATATATTGTCAAAATTGTCAATATAAAAGTCTTAAAAGATAAAATTCTCCAAAAGGCACCACCTTCGCTAAAATGGTAATCAGTGTTCTTCCACGAATTCAAAAAGACTTGCTCCTGAAGCTTCTGTGCCTGTACTCTAGAGTTCTAAGCATGTTTAGAATAAGTATGAGTCTCTTTAGTTGTGACATCCAAATATCACAACCCACTTGTTACTATGAGTATGCAGACACTGTTCAAAGGAGGTTTCATCCTTGCTCTTTTATGAGAAGCATAAGCATCTGAACACCTCAATTTTAACAATATTTTGCAAGAATTCAAGTTTGTAACTAAGTAAAGCAGATGCTCTTGCAAGCAAACAGGAATCTCTCAAGTATAATTAAATAAACAAATGCAATAGTCCTAGGAGAAAAGCCTCAAAAGTGAGTTCCATTTTTAATTCAGGTTTCCAAGCTATATTCGAAGCCTCAGGTTTCCAAGCTAAGTATTCCTAACTTCTCCTATCAGTTCTATCATCCCCTACAGTCACTCATCTGGTAAGACATCTGAATGACTGCACATTCCCCAAACATGCAGTACTTCCTTTTTTCTTTTTAAAAAAAGTTTGGATGAGATAAGAAAAAAAAAATCTTAGAAAAATAAAGGTAGCACTTAAGAATTCTGTTTAAACTCCAGTGCAAAAGCCTATGTAATTCTCATGATTCTGACTGAGGCGCCAGCAGGCTGTCTGAAGAATGCTACATAAACTATACTTTACCACTAGTGATCTCACTAACGTGTAAAGTCATCCACCTCTGTACCACATCTCTTGCTAAGCCTAAGTAACCATCACCATCCTTGTTTCTGAGTCCAAAATCCTTTTGCAGCAATGGCTATTCTATGATTTCAGTGTATGGGCATTAAAAAAAAATTTTTAAAAGTCTCAATACACTCTGACTGCCTGTTGTTCATAAAAACATAGTGCAGATATGGAACAAAGTTAATAAAAAAGAAGTCTCATAATACCCGAATGAATAAAAGCAGGATTAAAATAGTAACCTGTACTCAGACATATGAAAATATCTGAACAATTGTATGTATAGTTAGAGAATTTCCTTCAGGCCTGGTTCTACCCAGTTATGTTTAAGGAAGTATATTGAAAGTCTGTATGATCAAGATGTTAAGGATGCAAGACCACAGCAGAAGAACTGTAGGGATTACCTGCATCAGCGCTTACTACACAGCAGTTCAGGGAAGTTTTACCACTGAAGCTTTTCACCTCTCCCAAAAGAGTTCCTCCAAACCTTTCTGCCCCAGAGCATAAGCAGTCATGATACTAAAGCAAATTAAGATGTCTAGTTCCTGAGGCTGCAAATAGCACTCATGCAAGTATTCAGAAAACGCAAATATGAGTGCAACAAATTAACTGTGGCACTTAACCTAAGGTTTAAACAACCTTTGCCCAACAGGACTAGAAGGTGGCAAATACAATGCAAATTTCTGAAGAATCTTCCAAGGGCCACAGCAGAGTCTATAAACCAGTAAACCTGAACTCTATATTGGGCAAGTTAATAGAAGTTATAAAGAACAGAACCAGCAGGCACAAGAATATACTCCAGAGCAGGAAAGAATTTTGGTAGAAGGAAGCAGTACTTCAAATGCTTTAAAAAAGGTCCAAAGATCTTTAAAGACCAGAAACTATCATGGGATAAGAGGGAGGGTCCACTCAAATTAATGTCTGGTTTAAGGCTAGGAAAGGAAGGGTAGGAGTAAATATTTCATTTTGGCAAAGAAAGTAATTAGTGAAATCACCAAGGAATGTGTATTCATTCATCTTTAGAAGCAACAGAGAGGGATAACAGTTGGGGGTGTGTGTGAGATGACAGAAATTACTGAGGATAGTAAATAAAAAAAACCAACTGAAGAATCACTGAAAGACCTCACAGTTGCTCTGAACTTAGTATGATAAATCATCAGCTGAATTCAGTATCAACAAAAGCAAGGTAATCTACACAAAGGAAGTACAACCCAAACAAGAAAAAGTACAGTGTGCTCCCAATTTATGCTGCTCAGGAAGCACTGCAGTTTTTACACACAGTTCTACGACATTTGCTCAACAATCCAGAGTGGTCAAAAAAGAAAAGAATTGGGACTTGGGAAAAAAAGGAACAGAGAACAAAACCAGAAGTCACCATGATATCACTGATAAATCAGGGCATCCTACCATTAATATCCTTTCATTTAAAAAAAGAAATTAGAACAAAAAAGGGAACAGTAAGCCAACAAGGATGTTTAAAGGTAAAAACCACTGCTTCTGTACAATAACAGAATGTTAAGACACTTCAGCTGGGGAACAAAAGTGCTGAATGTAGATGATAGCATCAGATTCACATGCAGCATGCAGAAGAACAGGAAATATTTCACTGTTTCTTACAGTAAAGAAACTATGGAGCACCAAGTGAACTCATCAGGTTTAAACACAAAGTATGTTTTCATAGGACATAATCATGATGGCACACAGTGCTATGGAACACAATGTGAAATTCAGTGAACCCAAAATGCTCTGGCAAATTTATGGCAGAAAGCTATACAAAGGGTAGTTAAACACGCAACCTTTGGCTTTGGGAGAAATTAAGCCACAGATTGCTAGACAGGCACAGTGAAGTAATATCAATGCACACTTACTCTGTTATACTTTTCAAGTATGAGATTCCACTAGTGTCAGAGGACTATGCCATCATCCATTAGATCGACCTTTGTTTTGATCCAGTAAAAATTCTTACATTATGTATAATATCGTCTGAGATTCAATATCATGTTTTTACAACAGTGTTTGATTTTGTCTAGAGAATAACAGTAATCAAAAAAATGAAAATGGGAACCATTCGGAACAGATTTTTATGCTGATGTTTAAAATACGCAGCAACTGCAAAAAAGTTCTGAATAATTAAGTAAACAAATGGTACATTAACTTTATGCATCTTGTTTTATGAAAACATATTTATTCATAGGTTTTTTCTTATTATCTGCAAGATATATCCAATACTGTACTGATTTGATTATGAGTACAGGAATTTATCTGAAAAGAAGTAAAAAGTCTTCAAGGAAGACTGTTCTTCACATGTGAAGTTTTTCAGAAGTACTGCCACATGTGCTATGATTAAAAAGATTGTTTGACTCCATTTTAAATGTATATAGGTAAGTAATACCTAATTAGTTAAAGGAGGATATAGTACTTCCTGCAAATCTGAAAAAACCTCTACTTTCTCATACAAACCAGTGATTACTTTTACACTGAAGCGCTGTTAAAGAGAAGAGAATGGGTATCTACTTCATGGGATCCCTGTTCTAGTTTAAGCTAAGGAGCGAACGTCTCACCACAAGAATCAGAAGATGGCTGGATGTTGTCAGAACACGAGCAGCTGTACAGGGTCAGTGTACAGAGATGCAACTCCTCTGAACATGGACAGTAAGCAGAGACCGATGGTTCTCATATTGGAAGAGAAAGGACAGGGTTTATCTCACACAAGAACTATTAATCCCTCACCACCCTCCATGCTTAGTGGCCCTAACCTAATAAGTTGTCCTTTATATAGAAGACATTCCCCTCCCAGGAATTTTGTGGGGCTGAGGGGCATGAGGTATGGCAGAGAATGGGAGAAAGGCAAGAAATCAGAAGTGCAAATAGTAATCAAGATACAAGTGCACCATGAATTTAAACTGTTGTAAAATTATAGTTTTTGTTACCTACTGCTTTCTAATAGCAAAAAGTATCTATTTGCCCCTTTTTATGACTACTGAACATTGAACTCAAGTTTTCATAAGTCTAATAAGACCATGTTTTGTCCATAAACGTACGTGTTTAGCTTTGATGTATGCATAAATGTATATGTAAAATTAGATTGCTTCCACTACCACTCCCTCCTACATATATTGCTTTACATGCTCTACACTGACTTTCATCTGCTGTAGTTAAGCAACTTGTTTCAGGACATTATAAAATCCTTAACTTGTATTATGGAAATGAGTTTTCAGAAAAATGCTTCAACTGTACTTTTCTAGAAGTTCAAAAAATAAATTATCATTCAAATGAAAAGCAAACAGTATTCTGGAACTGCGTTCTCAATTCACTGGGTATACTGGGTTCCATCAATCCCTCTAAAAGATGAAAGTGATTCTTTTTAGTTTAAGGGTTTCTTTTGTTATGTATCACAGCTAACATGCCCTGAAATAGTAATTACTCCTACAGAACATACAGACTGGGCACTCAGAAATCTGCCTTTGCCAGAAAAAAAAATCTAAATAAATCAGGCAAGAAAGATTTTAATATGTATATTAATAGCAAAAGATACAAATGACTGCTCTTGTTTCCCTTCTTTATTATTGAGGTGCTTTAATAGTAATCCAGAATATCAACATGCCTAAGCATGATGATGAGTTTTGATTGCCGGCTCAGAATTAATCACCCAACCCTACCCATATGAATTCTTAAAGACCTGTTTGGGTGTGGTTTTAGTCAACATTTTCTGATTTCTACCTTCATTTATTAGTAAAAGCCTCTTTATGTTACTACCTAGTGTTGTTCAAGTCATTCACGTCACACTTTCAGGAGTCAGCAGAGTATCTTTAGGCAGCTGGCAGCTACAAGATAAACTCATCAAGCAATGACGTGCTATTCAACAATAACTTCCCATGGAAGCATTCAAAAGTAGTCAGAAATTCATCAAGATTCATGAGTATTTAGCCCAAACAGAAGAGCTGTTCAATAGTGCACAACAGCATTACATAAAAATTCTTTCTTCCGGCACAGTATTCATCATGAATATTGACCTGCATCTATTACTCAGTTGTATTTATATAGGAAGCTTTTCCAAGAATAGCTTCACAAGCTATAACATCCTATAGGCAAATCTATTTAGCAGACTTGTCTAATAAGCTTGTAGCAGCTTCAAGCTGCTTAAATGAAATATAATGAGACAGTCAGCTCCGAAATGTACAGAAGTCATTTGACACTACATTAGCAACCCTATTCAGGAAAAAAACCTGATGTTAACATCTCTGCAGCATCCTAAGTTATCACTATTAAATATTTGTGTATTTTAATACAGGTACAGTAACTCACGTATTTTGCCTCGAACTTCTTGGCTAGCATTTCCACTTCATGCCGCTCACGTTGTTCATCATTAAATGGATCTTCCAAGTGAACCAATTTCTTCTGAAAAATGCAGAAGTTCAATATTCATTCCATAAGAAACACACAGAGCACATCTAATAAAAACCTATTAAATGTCAATAAACAATGCTCTGATGACTAAGCAGTCAGAATTTGTACTGAGAGTCCAAATACTTACTTTAGTCTCTAAAAATTAGTTTGACCCATTCAATTATCATTCAGTTACTTTTCTTCTAATGAGAACACAAACAGAAAAGTTAAGAGAGACTCAGAGTTATATTTTCCCAAGCATTCCACCACAACCTCAACTGAAAGTGTAAGCATAAGAGAGAACTATGGCCATTTGAGGTTCAAAGAGAAAGAACTCTCTCTAAACCAAACTCCTTTTCATTTCTGCTTCCACTGCTGCCTCTTATTGGTGCTGTGATCCTTCTAGATACAACACACAAGATGTACCTGGTACACTAATCAGCAGGGAAGCAGCCAGAAGACTAAAAAGCTCAGTAAATTACAGCCATAAATAAAGTAACTCCTTTAACTCTTGTACTGTTATTTTTTCTTCAGATAATTTCAGTAATCATAGCATGAATTCTACAAGATTCCCACTATGGCAGCCACAAGGACAATAAAGATTTAATATTCCAGCTGTACAAATAAGCCGGAAGTACCCCCCCTCCTTTTCTTTTTTTGAGAAAGAGGTTTTCACTGACATGAAGTCAATGAACAGTAGTCAAGTAACTCTTGTACTGTTATTTTTTCTTCAGATAATTTCAGTAATCATAGCATGAATTCTACAAGATTCCCACTATGGCAGCCACAAGGACAATAAAGATTTAATATTCCAGCTGTACAAATAAGCCGGAAGTACCCCCCCTCCTTTTCTTTTTTTGAGAAAGAGGTTTTCACTGACATGAAGTCAATGAACAGTAGTCAAGGGTATACATAGTGCCTTTTTTTTTTTAATAAGGTATGGCAGAAAAACAGGGCTGCCTTCTTCAAAGTAGAATTCACATAAAACATGGTAATTGTTGGAAGGGGAGAAAGTACTAGGATGCTAAAATATGGTGGAATGGAGTTCCATTTTACAGAACTTTATGGATGGCAACTAACTTCACTGCACATGGACCACTCATCAATGAATAAACAAAGATTTATGGTAGACTAAGACAGAACAAAAAGCAACACTAAGTTCAGAAAAGCAAGATCCTTCCTCCACAGTATGAAAAGCCAATATATTGACTAAATGGTGACCAAATAACGATAAACTAGCTCAATAGTATCAAGACCAATGTAATGAGGAAGGTAAGCTGAGCAAAACTGCAAACACCATATAATTATCTTCCATTTTCTAAACTGAGTACTTAGAGAAAAAATTAATAGAGGTTGTAGTTAATCCTGAAACTTAAGTTTAAGTTACATACATATTTCCTGCAGGCATAATTAAATATAAAATACTGCCTAATTCATGCAACACCGTTTTCTCTACTTTTAGCTGGGAAAACGTATTCCATGTCATCTGCTAGGCAAATGTTGGTTTCTTTTAATTGTGAAACAAGACAAGGTTGAGGCCAGAGGTCAAGCAAAATTTAGTACTGAAGTGTTAACTTGCCTCTCTCCACCAAACTCTCAAAGCTGTAGCTGACTATCACTTTGATTAGTTAAGCACTATTGGAATCTCAAATCCAAGCAAGTTTTAATTTTGACGGTTTCTGAGGGCTCTGATGGATGGCTTTCAGGCTTTGCAGTACCTTTAAGACATTACTACTTCAGCACCTTTACAGCCTGCTTGACAGAAGCCAACTTGGGCTTCTGGCTCACCCGCTTTAAGTTTTACACACCAAGCTTCAATTGCACCAACAGAAAAGGGAGCACACTTTCACTTCCACCAGTTTTCAAGAGGCAAATAAACTCTTCAACCACACTAACGTATTACTCACATCCAAAAACTTTACGTAAATGATTCCTACCAAAAGATGAACTCTACCAACAACCCTATCAAAGGATGTTCTCTTCATCAAGGCAAAAAAGCAGGACAAGGACAGCACGAGTTTCAAACAAGCATTTCCACTAACTTCTGATTCAGGCTAGGAACGCAAATTTGAAACAAAAAAAAAAAAAAAAGAAGTTGCACTCATCCTGTCAAGTAAGTTTTGCGATTCTCTACCATTTCATTAAGAGACCTATTAAAGCAACGTTTGAAGGTATTCCTGTGCACCAGTCCTTGCATTCCCAGAACAGCCTGCCTCTGGAGAACCTTTCTTGGTTACTCCAGTTCCAAGCGACACTACAAGACAGAAAGACAAGCTCCTAATTTTGTAATGTTGAACTTTAATGGGAATATTTATAAGGAAGTTGAGCAATGTCTTATAAGGGATAAGGAGTCAACAATAGCTTTTAGAAAACCCAATCAAGCTTCACCCTACAAAAACGGTTTGCATAGCTAAGTTTATATGAACTGTTCATTTTAAACTGAATCATTACTACAAAAACAACAACAAATTTGGAAATCTAAAAGTCCACTTAAAACCACAGCATTAACTGCCGACTAGTTACTACCTACTTGGAAAGAGCAAATCTCAAATTCTGCAGCAAAGTGTAGAGGGCAGGCGTTTCTCAGTCAAGCTTCATTTTAACAAGGTATTTTTCTCTGCTGCATTAACTGGTATAAATCAGCACAGCTATTCTACTCCACAAGCAGGATCAGTTTTCCTTTCACATTTTTTTTTTCTGTATTTTAGGACTTTGAACAGGTTACATAATTTGTCGGTCTGAGAACAACCAGGGTAAAAGACAGACTTCTGTCATCCTAAGCCTCCTGCGCTGTGCGCAGAGCAAACACTCTTCTTGCATTTGCTTTAATTATGAAGGAACCAGCATGCACTAATTTTATTGCTGGATAAAATGTGTTTCCCCTCTCTTTTCATGCTGCTTAATACAAGATTTTAAGTCCTCCCTACCATATCAGAGTAGCTTTTCCAGCTTCTACCATACAGCAAGCAAGAAGTTAAACTGACAGGCCAAGTACACATCAGTTTTTAAACAAGAATAAAAGTCCAGAATCACTTTAAAACGATCATAATTTATGACAGTTTTACATAATCAGCTGATTGTTCCACCCAGTCCAGCAATAGACAGGCCATTATGATACATTCATTTCAATCTGGACTCTACAGAAAGCTGAAAAACATACACAATTTCTTATAAAGCATTTCTACAACTACTTCTATCTTAAAAGCAGTCTCTGATCCCAATTGTACCAAAAATCCCCTAAATCAATGCTCCCCCCCAGAAGACATGGATTTTGCATCAGAACTACATAAAAAAGCTATTTTTCCTCGATTACGTGATTAACATATTACCAGCCTACAGAAAAAACACAGTTATGGAACTGGGAACTGCCAAAGGGAAAAGCCAACCTCCACATACTGAACCACTTCTAAACACTAACACAATTTTCACCTTCATACAGGAACTGCCCAGAAAGGTGGCACTTCACAGAGCAGCATGCTTATGCTACACCAATTCAGAGGAGTCATAACTGGCACTGTTTGCCCACAACAGCTGTGGGACAGGATGAACAGAAGGAACCTTTTAACTCGCATCAGAAGATCTCAGAAGGATTAAAATCACAGTCATTGATTTTTCTGTCTTCCACATTTGAACACAGTCTAGTGTGTACATCCCTCCTACTACAGAACAAAAAGCGAGCAGGCTGCTAAGTATAGTTACAGCATCATCATCACCTAGAAACACTTTGGTTCGTAAAACAGCAGTTTTAACCATTCTCGAGTTCATGCTGGATGTAAAAATCCAATGGCGGTATCAGTACTAGTATTTGAGGTTTGCTTTTATCACCAGAGCTATCACAACCTTCTCAGCAGTAGTTACTTCCTTGTCCCCTGCCCTTTCCAATAAGATATAAACCTTCTCTAAAATTGCCTGTGTACCAGAATTAAGAGGAGCCACAACTATTTAAATCAAGTGCAACTTCACTGGTATCTTCAACCCAGAGTGGCTTAAGTGTGACCAGCATAAGGGCACGCGTCTCTCCTTCCTACTTGAACACTGGGTCCTGTTGATTGGCTAATGCTGCTTGCTTCTTAAAGTTGTCTGCACAAGCTTTTCTCCTTAAAAACCAAAGTAGTTCGAGTACCAAATATTTTCTGGTTGGGAGGAATTGGAAAGAGGAAAGTACTTTTTTTTTCTTGAATGAAGCTCGTAACAGTTACAGGTGAGGCTCTAGTTTCAACAACATTAACTCTAATTCATCCCCGCCTCCCCAAGACTGCAGAAACTCGTCTCCAAGTCTGCTAACGCTCACTTCCTTGCTTCTCAAAGCTTGTAGCAGGGCCGGGCTAATAACACTTCATTTACCTGCACACAGCCTACAGACAATGCGGAAAACGGACCGGCCTACCAACAGTTTCGTTCAGCTGCCGGAAAACGATCCCAGGAAGGGAGGATACAACACTACCGCTCCCCGGGCAGGCAAGGTGAGGGAAGGAGAACTGGGGGTAAGCCGGGCACAAGACGCTGACCCTCCCCCGCCCCTGCTCGCGGCAAACGCCAGGAGCTCCCAGAAAAGCCACCCCGGAGCCCTGGGCCAGCTCAGGGGCGACAAGTGCGAAGCCTCCCCTTCCCCCCACGGGCACAAGCGCAACCTCAGCCCCAGGGGGAGCCCGGAGCGACGGCGAGGCTGCCGGACTTCCCTCCAGGGCGCCGCCCCGCCTGGCCGGGACCACCCCCGAGCAGGACGGGGCGACCGATAACGTTATCGGCAAGGC